GACGTTCGCGCCGTTTACGTCTTCGTTTTCCTCCTTATTAGTTGTATTTATTACTAAAATTTTGATAATGGTACCAGTGGATAATTGCTTGTGACCTAGGCCCCGACGATTTTCTGAGTTAATCTCTGTTATTTCTTCACATTGGTTAGCGTTCCGATTATCTCCATTTGGTTGTAAATGTTTATCAATTTTTAAAACTAATTAAATATAAAATGAATTTATCAAAGTCGAATATAGACCAAAAAATGCAATTAAGTTAAAGTTTTTATAAATAGCTAACCTGTATCCATGAGGGTATTTTCAATAGTCACAAGTTTATTAGTGTAATGTCATAGTTACCATAAGCAACGTAGAGTTAAAAAAATGAATTTTAAAGAATAGAAATTGCATTCTAGGCATAAAACCATTACACGTAAAATATTTTTTTAGGTATACCCAGCGAGCGCGAATTGCAGCCGTTTCAATTTAGGGGGATGGCGTCTTTCGTTAAGAGGATTGCTGATAGGGTCAACTGTGAGTATTTTCGATTTTCATGCTGATTGCAGCTACCATTCCCAAAGCCAAACGACTCACTTTGTGTGCTGCTGATTATGCGAAAGAAAGTGGCACTTTTGTCTGGAAGTATGCTCGGGTAGAGTTACGCCCTCCAAGCCCTAAAGATTTTCCTCTTGCGATCGCCGAATATTCTCGTCTTTTTAAAGCAGGTTCGGCTGGTAGATGGAGGGATATTGCTGTTAAAGTATGAAATTTTAATCCTATTATTTTAGGATGCTTTTCTCAATGCACTTGTTGCAACGGAAGTAGCCTGCTGGTTCTTCCTGGGTGAGATTATTGGGAAGCGAAGCTTAGTTGGCTATGGCAGAGTCGACGGTGCTTTCCTCACTGTATCTTGGAGATTCCCTTAGTGCTTTTACGAGTTTATTCTAGCAATACATTTTAGAGTGATACTATTTTTTTCGTTAATTATACGCAATTTCGTGCCCCCTCGCGACTTGATTTGTACATTATTTAGTGCAAAACTTTTGTTTCGAATGTACTCTGAAATAAACAATAATTGACTTTTGATGAATATGATTTGAACGTCAGACCTTAGCGACTGTTATACTTTTGTGTTGGATCATTCTATATTGAGCTCTTATTTACGCACATAGTAGCTTTTACGGTGAAAAACTCTCCATTTTGTTCATAGTTTTTGGAAGATCCTACTTAGAATGTTCTTAAATATGTCGGTGTTCTTATGGTTGCTCGCTTATTCAATATCTGTTTGGCCTTCATTTTCTATCATTTTTAATATGCCTCTTATTGTGAAGTTAGCTTTTCGGAATGCGTTCAATTCGTTGATAATGCGAATTCATCAAGCATCTGTTTTTATTCCATAAACTCAATGGGAA